GGGCGGGGCTGCCTGGCAGAACAGGGCCTGGCCCGGGTAGCGTCACTGTCCTGCGGATTTACCGCAGCCGCGCAGAAGCGCTGTCCAGCTGTTCACAGCAGCGCTGTTTTCACAGCTATGGTGTATTACGGTTGAGCGGTTTGCCCTAAATAAACTTTCCTTCTTCACCACACCCCAAACTGGGGACTCCTGTTGGCCTTTAAACTGGAGCCAACCTTCTGTGGACGTTCCGCGGCTCCCAGCGTGGTGCTCTGGAGCCTGGACTAGATCTCCTGACACCGCCTGAGCATTCCCTGTGCTGGACTTGTGTTCCTGGCGGCACCTCAGGATCTGGGGAGCTGTGGATTGTGGCTAATGGAATTGAACTTGAGACTAACTGAATATTTACAACACCCTGTTCGTTGGTTAGGTATCATTATCCCTAAGTTCAGAGAGGTTAAATATCGCTTTCAAGGTCAGCCGGCCTTTGAATGGGAAAGCCTGGGGTGAAGCCAAAAATTGTCCAATGCTCGTGTCAGAGTCCCTCTGGATAAGCCTGTTTTTCAGCCTCATACAAGCCCTTGGCATTTGTCGATGCAAAGACAGGAGGGAGCTATTGGAATGGCGGTTGTTTAGTAGCCTTCAGTCTTGGGTAGAGGTGCAATGAGACCCTAGAATGCGAGGCTCTCGGGGGTAGAATTAACTGTTGTCTTCCCTTTGGGGATACTGAGTGTGTGATTCAGAGCTGTGACAGGTAAGGTGTAGTTGATACAGGTAGCGATGGACTCCCATGTCACGTGGTTGGGCTGCTTCTGATGGCCCGCACGTCTGTGCCAGGAATCACTCTGGAGCACTGAGAAACCACCCCACATGTTTGCCTTGGGCCACATTAGCAGCTAGAAGAGCAGACCATGATTAAAACTTTTTAGGATGTGGGAAGTGGTGGTAAATTCAATCGTATGGCCAACACCAAAATGCACCCAAGCAAATTTACTGCTCTATACATACTAGCAACCAAGACAGATTTACTTCTTCAATTACACGGGTGTGCCAGACAAACAGTATTTTGAAAAAAGTGAGTACTCTAGACAAAGGGACCATTCCAAACCCACTGAAATCTCTGGACACAAATTATTACAAACACCCAATATGCCAATACATTGATGCACAGCAGTAGCTTCAAACACACCAAACTCCTCGAGCATCCTGATTTTCTTGTCCAAAAAATCCACGTATATCCTGGGAATCACATGCCCACTTCAACTTAGATAGGGAGAAGGAAGACAGACTGGAATTTTTTTGAGGCCATATCAAACCAATTTATACATTAAGGACATCAAAAAGGCATTCTAAAGGGTTTGTTGATTGGTTTATTACATTTAAGAAAAGTTCGAGTTATGTCATCTTTGACTATTAAGAGACCCTAACATTTCAGGTGGTCTTTATGTGCAATTTAGGCTGATTTATTTTTCTTTTAGGGATTAGTTTTCATTGAGGACTGAACCTTTTTAATGAAGAACACACTTACATAAAAACACCTCTCTTTCCATCCTAGCTCAGGAGTGCTTTCCTGAGGGACACCGGTTACTTCAGAGCCCTCACAGAAGTGTCCATTTTGACTCATGGCACCTCCAGCAGTCAGCCACTCAGGACCTGATATGTGATCATTCCCTTGCTGCTGGGTGGTATCGATTTCTCATCTTTGACAGACCTGCTGAGATGCCAACCGAATGTGTCGAGGTATTTCAACTCGCTAAGAACTGTATGTGCTTTTTCTTATGTATGTTTTTCATAGGAGAATTGAATCTTATTACCACCAATTTATTTCTCATGCTGAATTATTATTTTAATTTTGTATCAAGATTAAGTTAATCTGGAGTATTCCCATGTTCTTCATTATATTGTGTAATAAAGATAGTAATAGTTTATGCTATACTTGTGCAGTCCTCCAAGTGTCTTTAGCTACAGTATCTTATATCGTTTTTACAGCAACTCTAGGATATAGTTCAATCATTATTATTTCCATCATATAGTGCAGGAGACATATATTCTTAGACATAACACCCCTAGAGTCACCCAGCTAGCAGGCCAACCAGCCAAGTTTTTTTTAAATTTATCTTTATTGTTGAAAGTATTACAAATGTCCCCCCTTTTCTCCCATTGATCAACCAGCCAAGTTTTTATCACAAGTCGTTATTCTTCAAGGCTCAAGGATTTAACCACAAGTAACCCCCAAACCTGCTTCTGTTCTTGTCAGTCATAAACAGAAGGCCCATGTTCCTTGTTGTTACCCACAGTTTGTGAATTATGGAGAAACAGGAATTATTTTCCCTTTTAAGCATGTAACTAATGTGAAAAAAACTCAGGAAAGATATCCAAGTTTTAAGTTGTGACACTATAGCTGTCTTTTTTCCTTTCCTTAATTTGCTTGTCACTTTTGTGACATTTCACTTGCAATAAGCTAAAAAAAAAAGAAAATCAGAATTTGAAAGTAAAATTTGAGGAAATCTACTACGTCCTTAAATATTTGTGTTCTTTGGCTAAATTAACTATAATCGATTCTAGAAGGTCACACAAATGTGAAGGTGAACTGGATCTTCCCCTGGAGGTCATCTGTGCCCCATGGGGAAGTGTCCCTGACCCCATTCTTTCATACCCTCTTGAATCCAGCCTTGGGACCATTCTGCTAGACAATTGATAGAATTTTCCTTTTGTCTACAGGATAATACAAGTCTGTGTAAATAAATTTCTATTTATAATGTTTTAAGTAATTCATGTACATTATAGAAAACTTAGAAAATAAAGAACATTCATTCATAATCCACCCACACACTCATTCTACCATTGACATTTTGCTATTATTTCCTCTTATTTATAGTGTTTTGTGAGGTTCATGCTATATGTTCAGTCTCATAACATGTGTGGGGTTTTTTTCAGTTACAGCTATAGCATTAACATTTTCCTGTTGTTAAAAATTCTTTAGCCCTAGTCGGTTTTGCTCAGTGTTTAGCGCGTTGGCCCATGGACTGGAGGGTCCGGGTTGGATTCTGCCAAGGGCAGGTACCTTGGTTGCAGCCTTGATCCCTGGCCCCAGTTGGGGCATGTGTGGGAGGCAACCAATCAATGTGTCTCTCTCACATAAATGTCTCCCGCTCTCTCTCTCTCCTCCTTCCATTCTTTCTGAAATGCAATGGAAAAAATATCCTCAGGTGAGAATTAAAAAAAATATATATATTTTAATATATCTTTATTGATTTCAGAGAGAGGAAGAGAGAGAGATAGAAACATCAATGATGAGAGAGTCACTGAGTTGCTGCCTCCTGCGTGCCCCCCACTGCAACCTGGGCGTGTGCCCTGACCGGGAATCGAACCCCAATCTCCTGGATCCTAGGCCAGCATTCAACCGCTGAGCCACGACTGGCCAGGCAAAAAATTTTCTTTATATCAGTTTGAAAATAATATTCTCCTGTATATACACCATATTTATTTAAACCATTATCATATGTGTGTACTTTCAGGCTTTCACTATAAGTGATTATTCAATTAGCAAATGTGCATATAAATCATTGTTTGATTTTAGTCTTTTTGAGGTTTTAAATACATATAGTTAAATTGTTTTTCAAATATATAATGCTAATTTTGAATTCTGGTAGCAACAGGTAAAAATACCTTCTCTAGTACTAAATATTCTCAGGTATTCATTAGACATTTGTATTTATTCTTTAAATTATGTTTGTGTATTTGTCCCATTTGTGATCTTACAATTTTTAAATGGATATTACTTGGTTAAAATAAAATAATAAATATAATAATGTAACAATATATACATAGTTAATATATACAAAATATAATGCTATTAACAAGTAATTTTCTCCTTATTTAACTCTTATTTGTCTTATATTTTTAAACTTATTTAACCTATCAATCTTTTCCTTTATGATTTTTCCTTTGCTTTTAAGCATGGAAATAATAATAATAATATTAAGAATTATAATCTGGCTAGTGATTATGGAGACATTGCTATGTAGAAGTTGTGCTATATACGTTATTTTACTTATACTTCACAGCATAGTGAGGTGGGTGCTACAATTCACTTAATACAAAAGCTAAGGATGTTAGTTGCCCACAGTCATGCATTTAATACATGCCTCAGTTCTTTCCAAATCACATATAGTCTCTTATTTTTCCTGGGTTAATTTTCTATTTAGTTCTTTTCTCCATCTGAAACTGATGTTAATAATCTGCTTCAAGTGAGGCTTTACCTTCATTTTTTCCATATTACCAACCAATTTTTTCCTCTCCCCTGATTTTTTTATGCCTCCTGAACTGTACATGAACTTCTTACATATACTATTTCCAGTAATTTTTCAAGAACTCTCCAAGATTAGCTTATTTTTGTGCTATATGTTAAGATGACTTCAGACTGACTTATTTGGTCTTAGAATGTATCAGCTATTTTACTAAGTTGTCTGATACTGAATTTCTCTTGTTCGTAATACAAATGTAGCAAATGGAATAAAGGTATTTAAACCAAATAAGATTGTATTAATTATGAAAACTCTACCTTTAAGTGTACTATTCCACAAAGTTACTTTTTCTTTTGTAGTACAGATACAAGTTATTATATTTTTAAAAATATGATTGATAATCAAGTATTTTAAAGATTGCTTAGAAAAAAATGCAAAATTGCTTTATCTGCCATATATAAAAATAAATTGGATTTTCAACTTTTGTTTTCTCTGATGTAAAAGATGAACCACTGCGGAACACAGGCTCCCATCTGGCTGTCTCTGGGAGACTCAGAAACACTGCCTGCACCTGGGGAGATCAAGCAACTGACAGCTTGTGCCACATGGCAGTTCTTGCTCAGCACCACGAAAGACTGCTGTCTTTTTCAAATCCCGGTGTCTGTAAGAAACTGTGGACAATTTTTTGTGTACTTACTACAACCCACTCAGGGATGTATGGGATATTGTGCAGAAGGTAAGAAAACATGGGTAATGCACATGATCTGCTAATCATGGGACTGGGTATGTTGGTGTGTTTGTGCCAGTCTCTGGATAGGTTGTATGGAGCTAATGCCAAGCTCAAGAGGTTTGGTTTACTATGATTGCTCGGGTGAAGCTAAATTTCTGGTTTAAATTGGCCAGATTTGTTTAGGATTCTTTGCCAAGATCTTAACATCCTCAAAAAAATTTGTCGATGTGAAAGTATCAAAGGTTAACATCACCAGTGATAATGTACGTTAACGTCATTTATTTACTAATAATAAGAAAACTTCTCCTTTATGGTATTCTTCCTCAAAAGCCACAAGCCCAGTCTAATCATGAGCAAATTCATATGAAAGACTGCAAATCCTGGAAGATACTGTTATAGACCAGTGTTAGACAAACACTTGCAAATAATAATAACTATATGAGTACCACCTATGAACATTTTCATCCCGAGGTTGCTAGACTTTCCAAACTAGGAAACCCCAAATAACACAGGTATAGCAAAACAGATGCAAAGAATTTACATATAATCACAAATTGCAATTAACGATATAGATGAAGAGATTAAAATTTGCTGTAGATGAGAATACTGGAGGGGAGGGGAGGGTGCAATTTATAATGAGATGTCACCAGCGAAAGCCTCTTCTGAGAACAGAGCCTTAACCCTGAGAGTTTGAGGGTAAACCGTCCTTGGTCAGATAGAGTGAGGGGAAGAACATCCCAGAGAGCAACAATACATGAAAGACCTTAAGGTTATAGGACTGTGGTCTCACAAGAGTGAAAGCAGGACGGAGGGTGGATCTCCCAGAACATAATAGGATATGGATTTGGAAGGGGAGCAGGGCCTGACATGTAGGGAACTCTGCATTTTATTTTCTATGCATTGGGAAATCTTTGGACAATGATCCCAAGAGAGTGAGCCAGTAAATCTTCACATTTCTTACACAGCTGCTGGCCGGCTAACCCTGGCTGAAAGCAGCATGTTCAATACTTGAGTTGAGCATCTGCTCAGTTAATAGAGTGTCACTGAGAAGGAGAAAATCCAGAGAGATGGAGCAGCTTCACTGGGTGGCCAAGATGAGAGAGTTTGAAAAATGTCTCTGGTATTTCTTACTACTCTTGTCATAAAAAAAAAAAATAGTGAATTTTGTAAAATTTCAAATAATATTACCAAATGTTTGTAGAAAATTATATAGGTGTCTCAATGGAAAGAAATTATCTGCATTAGTTTAAGAAACAATGACAACTATTAAAAATGAAAACAAAACTTTCACACAAGAAAATACCGTAAAATACAATAACATCAACAGAGATATTATTGTTTACATTAAATTTTAAAATCCAATACTTAAAACGTGCAATTTTGTGACATGCTTTTAAAACTCAAAAAAATATTTCCTGTTTTGTAATGTCACTACTACCCACTAAATTTCTCAACTTTGAATATTCAAAATTATTTCTCTCTTTTACCTTATTTAAGTGCTCCTACTGGTTTTAGGGAGAGGGAATTCCTGGGAAGTGATTTTTATTTTCACTCTTCATGTATAAGTTATTAATCAGACATATATACATGAAATATCCTCTCTGATTTGCCAATAAAAACTTACCTTAAGATACCATTTAGAACCTGAATCGGACTGCATGGATAGGAAACTAAAGCGACAGTCACTTAATCCAATTAAGGTTTCTTTTTTTCTTGCTTACCGTGAATCTGGAGCAGATAGTCACTGCTGATGGTGATGTGGCCACTTTAAAATGTCAGGCTAAGGTCTTCATGAGTCTCTGGCTTTCCTTTTAGGGTGACGGTTTTAGCGTTCTTATCAGCATTGTAGAGAGGGTAAAAGGGAAAGCCCAACGGGTCAAAGAGGGCTTGCGCTGACGGAAACTTAATTCCTCTTATGGAGCTTATTTGGAAAAAGCCTTATCACAGGTCCTTAGAAGAATTTTCTGGCTCATCTCTACCTTCAAAGACAGTTTATGAAAGGTAGTTTTTTACTTGGACACATGGCTGCCCTCAACCAATCACACCTTGGTGGCTTTTGGAAAGACAACAATCAGTCACATATATTTTTAAATCATCAAAGCAGCAAAAATTAAAGAAAACATGTTACTTAGAAATATATTCTCATGATTTTTGTGTTTTTAATAATTCATATATTATTTTCATACAGTTTATTTACTGTCAGAGACTTCTAGAAGCCAAATGAGAAAATAAACATTAATTCAAGATACTTGTGATAAAGCCACTTAAATGAAAATATTTGTACATGCTATTTATTTAGAAGAATCCATGGGGAAATTGTTTTTACATTTTTCATATTTCTAGTTAGCAAGCTAGTTAAGCCTTTATGCTATACATGAGGAGGCATCATATCAAATAAATAAACCCCAGAGCACCTCCAAAAATAAAATATTATAGTTAATCAGCTAACAAAGAAGATAAAATGAAAGCATAACATATACTTAATTTTTTTTTTTTAAAGATTCAGAGAAAGGTGAAAACTACCAATAGGACAAACAGAAAACAGATAGCAACATGATAAATTTAAATCTTAAAATATCAGGAAGCATATTAAATACAGGGGTAGCAAAAGTAGGTTTATAGTTGTGAGTATGTGAAACACAGAATTTATTCTTGTATTATTTATTAATTATTGTATTATTTTCCATACAAACACTGTAAACCTACTTTTGCCCACCCCTGTATATGTGGTCTAAATGCCCCAATTGAAAGTCAGATTGGATTAAAAAATAAAAATAAAAAGCAAGACCCAACTACAGGCTGCCCAGACAAACCACTTTTATAAAGAAAAATGAGGTTTTTAACCTCATATACTTTAAAGTATAAAGATAGAAAAATATATACCTAGGTAACATGGATCACATGAAATCTAGAGTGGCTATATCCATATCAGACAAAGTAGATTACAGAGCAAAGGATATTACCTGGAAAAACAAGGGTCATTTTCTAATGACAGAAGTTTCAACTCAACAACAGGACATAACAATTATAAATACTTATGTAACTAATAACAGAGATTCAAAATACATGAAGCAAAACTTATAGACATTTAAGAATAGACAAATCTACAGTTAATGTTGAAGATCAACACCCATCTGACAATAATTAATTGATGATGTAGAAACAAAAACAGCAAGAATGGAGAAAAATGATCAGCCAACAAGGTCTACATGACACTTACAGAAGATTCTCCCAACAACGGCACGTCAATATTCTTTATAAGCGCACATGAAATATTTACCAAGATTAGAAAAAGTTTGAAGTTAATTTAAAGAAAACCCCACTAAACACCTATATTGGAAAATAAGAACGGTCACAGAGGAAACGAGATGGCGGGGCAGGTAACAGCTGCACCCGCCGCCTCCCGCAACCCCATCAGAATCACAACTAAAATACAGAACCACCAGCACTCAGAGTCTCCTGAGATCCGGCTGCACAGAAGCCCCACAACCAGGGGCTGAAGCAGCATCGAGACCGGGAGGAGGGGCGGAGACGGGGGCGGGGCGGGGCTGAATCCGAGACACGGCCTCAGGCCCACACCCAGGAAGGAATCTCAGCGGCGGGGTTTCCCAGAAGAGTGAGGGGTCCCAGCCCCACAGCAGCTCCCAGCCCAGAGCTCCAGGGCTGGGAAGAGACGTCCCCACAACTCCGGGCTGTGAAACCAGCGGGGACTGTCCTGAGGGTCGCGGAGGCTGCGGGAGCCCCAGCAGCTCCTCTAAAGGGCCCGGCACGGACTCACTCGGACGCTCCCTCTGAGCCCAGCGCCGGGCAGCAGCCTGAAAGGACCCGGGACACTCGGGGAGGAACTAACCTGCCTGGGATCCGGGCGAGAGGTGGAGGGGCGGCTTCCTCCCAGGCAGAAGGGCTGGCGGAGGCCATGGCTCCTTTGGCGAGTCCTCCCCGCACACAGCCGGCAGGCAGGCGCCATGTTTGAATCGCCAGCACCTGACTCACACCTTTGGCCCCGCCCCGTGATTCCCGGAGGCCCCGCCCCTCCCCACCTGCAGCTCATCCAGGCCATTTCCAGGGGCTTTTCTGTGCAAGTGGCCTCTCGAGCCTCATGCTTAGGACTTTCCTAAAATCTCTCAAACAAGCAGCAGCGGGCCCCATACGGCTTGATAAGTGGCCCCAGGCCTGGCACTAGCGGCAGCCTGCATTGGCTCATAGCTTGGCCTCTCCTGGACACCTCCAAGCCCAGCACAAGTAGCAGCCAACTACGGTTTGCTGTGTAGCTCATGCTGGGTGGCCCTGGGCAAGGCACTGGCACAGGCTGACTTTGCACCTCCCGGGAGGCCCCAGAGACAGTGCACCTGGTGGTCAGACTCGACCACGCTGGATTACAACCCTACCACATCCACGAGTGACACACTCAAGGGGCGCACTTGGTGAACACCAAAGCTCCACTGAAGTAAATCCTGCTCCATAGGGGTGTCTCCAGCACAGCAGCTCTTTGGCTGTAGTTGCAGCTGGTCCTCACAGCTGATTGGCCTGGGGGTCAATTCCTCCCAGTGACGCCAACAGCAACCAAGGCTCAACTACAACAGGACAGTGCACACAGCCCACACAGGGGAGCACCTAGAAGGCCCAGCTCAGGTGACTGGGGAGGCTGAGCCACTGGACCCTACAGGACACCTACTACACAAAGCCACTCTACAAATTCCAGGAGACATAGCAGCTCTACCTAATACATAGAAACAAACACCTGGAAGCAGCCAAAATGTGGAGGCAAAGAAACATGTCACAAAGGAAAGAACAGAAGAAATCTCTAGAAGAGGAACTAAATGAAATAGATCCAAGCAAGCTAACAGATACAGAGTTCAGAATTTTGTTTATAAGGATGTTTAAGCAGACTATTAGGGAAATAACTGAGAAAATCGATAACATAATAAAGTACCAATTTGAAATGAAGGCTACACGAACTGAAATGAAGAATAATTTACAGGGAATCAACAGTAGAGTAGAGGACGCTGAGAATCAAATCAGCAATTTGGAACATGAGGAAACAAAAAACACCCAACCAGAAGAGCAAAAAGAAAAAAGAATCCAGAAATATGAAGATAGTATAAGGAGCCTCTGGGACAACTTCAAGAGGCCCAACATTCGTATTATTGGGGTGCCAGAAGGGGAAGAAAGAGACCAAGAAATTGAAAACCTATTTGAAAAAATAATTACAGAAAACTTCCCCTACCTGGGGAAAGAAATAGACTTACAAGTCCAGGAAGCACAGAGGGTCCCAAACAAGAGGAACCCAAAGAGGCCCACAGCAAGACACATCATAATTAAAATGCCAAAGGTTAAAGACAAAGAGAGAATCTTAAAAGCAGCAAGAGAAAAGCAGTTAGTTACCTACAAGGGAGCACCCATACGACTGTCAGCTGATTTCTCAACAGAAACCTTGCAGGCCAGAAGGGAGTGGCAAGAAATATTCAAAGTGATGAAAAACATGGAACTACAACCAAGATTGCTCTACCCAGCAAAGCTATCATTTAGAATTGAAGGTCAAATAAAGAGCTTCACAGATAAGAAAAAGCTAAAGGAGTTCATCACCACCAGACCAGCACTACAGGAAATGTTGAAGGGTCTTCTTTAAGAAGAAGCTAATGAACAAAAGAATCTGACGAACTAAATAGAGCCAGAGACACTGACGCATGCAACAGACAATCATATTTCAGAGGAAAGAGGTAAGGGGGGTGGAGGGTGGGAAGAGATTAACCAAAGAAGTTAGATGCATATATGCATAACCCATGTACACAGTCAATAACGGGGTGAAGGCCTGAGGAGTGGGAATTGGGGGGGGGGGAATGGGAAACCTGTAATACTTTCAACAATAAAGATTAAAAAAAAAAAGTCACATATATAAAAATTCAGCTTATACACATTAAGGGGCTAGAAGAAGAAGCAGAAATGAGACCCTGAGTAAGAAGATAAAAGGAAATAATGATCAGAGGGAAAACCAATGAAGCAGAATATACAAAACAGAAAATTAAAGAAAATCAAAAGTTAGTTCTTTCAGAAATTCAATAAAAATAATACTCTATCCACTCTCATCAGTAAAAGAGGATCAGACAGAAATGATCAACATCAGGAATTAAAGAGAGATACAACTACAGATTCTACAGATACTACAAGAATTTAAAAAAGGATTATTGTGGAGAACTCTGCTAGTACATTTGACAAGTTAAATAAAGTGAACAAATTTCTTGAAATACACAGAAAACCAAAGCTCACTCAAAAATAGTTAGATAGCCCTGGCCGGTGTGTTTCAGTGGTTAGAGCATAGGCCTGCACACCGAAGATTCTAGGGTTTGATTCCTGGTCAAGGGCACTGTACCTAGGTTTTGGGGTTCACTCCCCATCCCAGTCAGGGCATGTGGGGAGGCAATGAGTTCGATGAGACACATTGATGCTTCTGTCTCTCTCCCTCCCTCCCTTCCACTCTCTCTGAAAAGCAATGGAAAAAAATATCAGGTAAGTATTAAAAAATAATAATAAATAATTAGATAACCTATTAAAGAAATTGTTTTTTCTAATTAAAATCTATCCCACTGAAAAACAAACAACAACAATAAAAAACCCCACCACCCCACCAAGCTTAGATGGCTTGGGAATTCTTCCAAACATTTAAGAAGAAAATAATACCAATTTTATACAGTTCATCCAGAAAAATAGAGAGGAGTGACTACTTCTAAACTTCTATTAGGTTAACATTATTCTGAAACTAAAACCAGATATAGACATTACAAGAAAAGAAAAGTATGGAAAAATATCCCTCAAGAACATAAATGCAAATGACTTAATCATCTAGTTAGAAAATTCAGTGGGATCTACAAAACAGCTTCTGGAGCTATTAAGTGAGTTTAGCAACACTGAAAGAAAAGGTCAACATATAAAATCATTTATATTTCTTTATACTAGCAATAAACAATCAGAAACTTAATGTAAAATACCAATAATGGTGCCAAATATATGCAATACTTAGCAGTAAATATGGAAAAAGTGTACAAGAACTATACAGTTAAAACTATAAATTTTTGCTAACAGAAATTATAGAAGTCCTAAAATAATGGGGCAATAAACCATGTTTGTGAAATCAACCACTCAATGTTAAGATGTCAATTCTCTTCAAAATGATTTATAGTTCCAAAACAGCCCTAATCAATATTCCAGCAAGCTTTAGTATGGAAATTGATAAGTTCATTCTAAAATGTATAAGGAAATAGAAGTACCTATAATCCCCACACTACTTTGACAAGGAAAAAGTTGAACAACTTACACTATGTGACTTTGAGACTTATTCTAAAATTACAGGAATCTACAGAGTGTTATGTTGGCACCAAGAGAGACAAACAGATCAATGGAAAAGAATAGAGTCCAGAAATAAACCAACAATGTGACTGCATTTATAAGTATCACCATGACAGCTGTCGACACATTTCTGAATCCTGTGCATGACTATGGGAAAGACAATTCCCAAGGAACTGACATCAAACCAACTGTTGTATAAATTTCTGAAGAGTGTAACATTTCATTACTTAATGCAGACTAAAATTTAGAAAACAAGATGTAAAAGCTGTAATTGTTTAAAAATATAATCCCAAGTTATCTCCATTTGATCCCGTCCTGAAAAGGAAAAAAATTTATTATAAAAAAAAGAAATGTTTAATCTGTATTAAAACATACTCTCTGAAGAATTGTCATCTCATGTATATCACATATATAAATATATTTACATCTTTATGCTCAAGTGGATAAGTGTAAAAGCCTCAATCTTTTGCAGCTATTTCTGATGCAAAATTACACCCATGTGGCCCTGACGAAATTGAAATTGAAGGTGACTGTGTTCGTAAGTATTAGATTTTATTTTTAATAATGTATTTATAAACTAATAATTTCAACAGGATTTTAGGTTCTGTGACTTACTCTAGATGTTTAATTGTGCTAATATTTGACAACATCCCAGTCTAGTGGGTATCAAAAATAAAAATCACTTCATCATGCCTTTAAGAAATAGCAGTGGAATCAGCAAAGGTGCAGAGTTGGCCATGTTCATACCCTACAGACATGTATGTATATCGGTAGTCATTTTATGAGAAAATTTGGCAGTTTATCTCAACAATCTCAAAAATCCACATGTATTTGTCCCTAGCAAATTGACTTCCAAAAATCTAGTTTAGAGAAATATTTAAAGAAGTGTGCAGGTATAATTTTTATAACAGCATTTTTCTAATAATATGAAACAATTGCAACTATCCAATAACTGCTGATTGGTTCAATACATTTGATGTATCCATAATGATAAAATATTCTGTAAACAATATTAAAATGCAGGAATGCATTCTTTGATATTAGTAGATACTCATGGCATATTGTAACTAAGAAATCAGGTTAAGCACCACAATCTCATTTTTGTCTTCTAGGGATGATTGCATTTGTACCAAATAAGTCTTGAAAGATAAACAACAAAAGTGATAATAGTGGTCATAATTTTTCTTCTCTTTTCAATCTATAATTTTCATTTTCTAAGTTAAAATTTTTAAATTATTTCAAATATTAAGAAACCTCTTGCTATAATATCCCTCAAGACAAATCACTCTAAATAGATTGTCTAATAAAATTTATGATATCTTCCTAAAGGATGGGCAGAAATAAAAATTATTTATTGAAACATTAGCCTTCTCTGGGACCTGTTGTCCAAATGTGATATTCTAAATGAATGTAGGATTATTGACATATAATTAATATAAGTAACAAAGATTTTTTATGGTGAAATAAGCCATAATGACAAAACAAATTAGGCAGATTATATAATATTCAGATACCATGCCTAAAAATTAATATGACTATTATAATAATCCTCAAAATAAATACTCTGAGTTGCTTTTCTATGCCCCATTCCAGTTATAAATGGATTTTCCAGTCCCCTTTTCTAGCATTCTTTCAACAAGCTAGTATTTTGTCTGAAAGTCTCAGTGTACTTAGACCCTGTGATTTAAGTTCTTAAGAGAATAAAATAATATTTCTAATAATAGTAATTTTAACCATAAAGGATAATGGTTTGGCTATTCTGTGAAATAGATTTGGACTATCTTTATCACACACATATGTTGTAGTAAAATCACTTTTCTTCCTTGAATGAGCAATAATTTAAGCTACCTGTTATGCTATTCAGAATGTTTATGCAATTAACTGGAAAAAATGCTATTCAAAATCATACGCAATTTGGGCAAGTAACATATGCATAAAAATGAGTCAAAAGTTAACAGGTAAAGCTTTATGATAAAATAGAGACTATATTAATGTAACACTTAATATATGCTAGTAGTAGAATTGGCAAAGCAGTAATACTTGTGCTTTTCCTTTTTATTGAATTTATTGGTATGACATTGGTTAATAAGATTGCGTAGGTTTCAGGGGTACGATTCTACAATACATCATCTGTACATTGTATTGTGTGTTCATTACCCCAAGTCAAGTCTCCTTCCATCACCATTTATCCCCATTTTACCCTCTCCGACGTGCCCCAGTCCCCTTTCCCTCTGGTAATCACCACACTGTGGTCTGTCTAGGAATTATGCTTTTCAAGTGGAAATAATTTACATGTCATTTTTGAAACCTTTAAGTTTTTTTTAAACAAATTTTCTTTGATCTACACTGTTGTGAGCAATGATCAGCTCACCCAGATAGTTAATGCTATTTAAAATCGTGATTCAAAATTTTTAATTTTTATGAGCTACTTACTTTTTCATCGTTTTTCACTTTATTCCTAACCATTATTTCTGCAAATAGTTTTTCTCTGTTTAAAAATAAATTCAACTTTTTTTTCCTAGTTTATTTAAGAAGAAATTTTAGCTCCAATACATTTTTTAAAATATCAGTACAGACTCATTACTAGTCTATTATTTCCTTCAAGACTTAATATAATGATTTGGCCTAATGTTTAAAATGTTTGGCAAAATATTTATTATTTAGATTGATTTGAAAACAATTGATTTGTTATTGGAATTTTGTAATCTGATCTCTAACAAAATAACCCTTTAAAATATTTGTAAGTATATAAGTTTCCCCCCCTTCTCACATTTAGGCTAAGGTTTCTCAGAATTTTTCAAAATCTACATTGTAGGGCTGAAAATTACTATTTTGATTATCAAAAAATAGCCATGTATACCATAGAAAAATATCTGTACATTTTAGGACATTCTAAAAATCTTTTAAAATTTATCACTCAGATATTTTTTTCTTTTCTAAAACAACAAAACAAATTTTAAAACTTATTTAGGAACATTTTAGATTCCCAGATTTCATCTTACAAATGCCAGAGATAAAAACTGTAAAACCTCCCTCCTGAGTTCCTGGAGGAATCTTCAAACATTTTGAACCTCAGAAAAATGAAAAGAATAAGGTTATTTTTCACTGGTATGTTGCACTAAGACAGTGTAATCACTCCCATAAGAAACAGCTCTTTCAACCCAGAGTAACGAGGAGCTGAGTTATGAGTAAAACAGTAAGTCATCTGATTTTACATTATAGTGACTATTTTTCTTTATAACAAGAAATTATAATGTAAAAAACCTTAATTTTTTTTGTTTGTTATATATTTTAGAAAAGGTAATAGCTGAAAAGGAGGTAAATTAACTTTTTTGTTCAAGAGCTAGACTTTTCAAGGGTAGACATATTCAGCATACATTAATATAAGCTTGATTAGCTGATTAATTTCTCTGCTATCAATATTTATGTGCTTATGGATCAAAATAAGAATGTGCTACTTTGCTGATTGCTAGCGAATAATTATTTTTCTAAATGTATTTTATTTTCCCTTAATATAAATCCCTGAGTTACAGTCTTTGTCAGCTTTTCCCATAAGCCAGTCTCCATTTTTTTAAAATGCCCAACTAAAATTATGAATTTTCTCCCACCAGGTCAGCTGTCTGCCTCATTGCCACCACCACCTCCAGGAAGGCCCGAAGTTGTGGCAGAGCTGATTGAGTCCAGGGTTTTCTGTAGGTGTGCTTTTGATGTTTCCCCTACCAACAACTCAGTGGGATTTCTCATAGCGTGGTCTAGGCTTTCTGCTCAGGAAGTCAAAGAGGAGCTGAAGCAGGAGACCACAGTTCAGGCATTCTCTCTTTTAGAACTGGATGGCATAAATGTCAGACTCGGAGATAGGGTATGTTCAAAAGCAACTGCATTTTCTTCTCTTTTCCTTTCATGAATATGTTAAATTGCAAAAATGATTTTTAAATCATATCCTAAAAATAGCTTTTGTCTCCATAAAAGAAAGCACTAATGTTTTTCTTTTTCTTTTTCCCTTGATTAATTCTGCCAACTCTAGTGATAACTGATGAGTCAGTAATCTTAGTAACTATGACTATCTGCTTCTAGCAATTTGCTGATTATTATAGATGAAACCTTGTAATTTTATGTCCCTTTCTGGTCTTAAAATGATATACTTTTATTCTAGAAATAATGTTTTCATTTTCAATATATCTTAAATACAAAGTCTACTTTAATTTTGTTGAGGTTTGAGTAATATTTTATAAAGATAGAATTTTTCTCAATATTTAAGCAAGTTCTTAATTATTGTCTCTTAAGTGCTATATACCAAAAATTAAAATTAAGCACTTAAATATAATAATTTTCACATATTACCTCCATAATATTATTGCTAAATGATTATTTGTTAACAATATTTATAGATATTCTGTACAGCTTCCATCTTTTTCTTGGGGAAACTACATGTAAAAAGTTCAGCCATCGAAAGCCAAGAATTTTTTGCAGGCATTAAGGTATGTAGCAGTGGGGATGGATGAGAAAGATTATCCTTCTGGAACTGTGTTTTTCATACTGTGATTTGTGGATGCTGGTTACAGGACCTCATCACAGACTGATGTTGAGACCCAAGAGTCTGTATTTTTGAAAAATAACCTCAATAATTCTAATGCACAGCAAGTTTGAGGGCCCTGTTAATAAGGGCCCTGTTGGAATATACTTGCTTTCCCCCCCAAAAATAGTTCAAGTTAGAATAAAGCATAAGTTCTACCCTCATAATTTATTCTATTGTGTAAGTAAAAGCTAGAGTATTGATATTTAGTTATCATGTATTTTGGAAGACAGGTACCAGGTCAAGTACTATAGCCTCTGGCTAGAGTAGAATTGGCCCAGAAACCTGGACTTAGGAACTGCAAAAATTGCGCTATCTAAACAGGCAATATTTACGGTGACTGCTGGTAGCACTGGGCTTCAAGAACTGATGAGCTATTCTAGCTAATGGCAGAGAATCCAGAGTGGTGGGAGTGGAGCAGTACCAGGAGATCTAGGCAGGTGAGCACTGCACACCCACTGAGGTCTCAGCCACGGCACTGGAGTTTGACCTGGGCCCATCTCTAGTTCAAGAACAAGACTGGATAATTAATAGATTGTAAGAACAGGACTCAGAACCAGTACAAAGCCTGTTCTTAAATGAAGACCATTTATACACAACAGGGAGCAGGGAAGAGAGCAAGAAGAATGAACTAGGTTGTCAGAATGGCATAGTCACCGTGGGAGGGGAAGCAGAGCTCAGACCTTGTGAACACAGAACCTTTGGATCTCTATTGGTGAGAACTCAGTAGACTGTGAGGGCCAGTGGTCAGCCCTCAGGGACTGTTTCTGATTAGGCTAACAGCGAGAGTATTCTGAACTAAGAACTGTTTGTTTTGAAAGCTAACCAAGACCAGAGATTGTCTAAAAACTTCCTGCCTCAAAAAAGGATTCGCCTATGAACTAGGATAGGACCAGTCCTAGGTTTCAGTACTCAGCAACTCCAGCTGTGGAAAGCAGAGGCTGAGAAATAAGCTTAAAGTTGAGATATTTCAGGTAAAAATGATGTTTTGATTTATGTGTTAAAAATTATTTAGATTTCTAATTTATATCAGGGATAATATTAATCTCTAAGGACAAACAGACTCTTCCATTAGTGTGTCAGTAAACATTAGCAAACCAGTGGACGGATATAGGCATCCTTCTGTCTCCTCCATTCTCCAGCGCCCACCACAAAACCAGAATCACTGAGGCAGGCCCCAACCACTCTGACTACCGTGTGTTGGAAGACCAAATACCCAAACTCAGAGCAGTACAGCAACTCCACGTGTTCTTCTGTGTGTTGCTGATGTTTTTAAGGGCTTGGTTTTACTGATCTTATGTAATTAAAAAAAAAATTCAAGTGTTTAAGTTATTACTAGCAGCTCATTTAGCAAAAGATGACCTGTTGAGAAAAAAACAAAAACAAAACCCCTTTCAAACTTATTATATCACAGAAATACATTGTTTTTACATGACTGCTTTACATATTTTCCCATACCAGCTACAGCCTGAATCCAGCACTATATCAGAAGATGGAAAAGAATACCAGCTGAGGATAGAGAGCACAGTTCCTGTGGTTTGTTCTAAATTCAGTGAGCTTGATCAGGAATGCAAAATCTCATTAAAACTGAAAACTGTTGATCAAGGTAATATACTAAATCCATTCAATTTTATTATTAGATTTCAAACAATGACTAATGCTTTCCTCCCCCTAGAATAAGTCACTGAAGCATACCCATATAATTCCTTGTGTTGCATGTTTACAGCAAATTATAGCTCAAGCATATTAATAATACTGAGCCAAAGGCATGATTGCCAGAGAAATCCACACTGAAGTCCACGCTTCTGCCGCCTGGGCCCAAAGGCTAAAAATAAACCCAACACAATACCGAACAGCAGCCTCCTCCCCGCCTCTTCCCCCTCTAGCTCTTCTTTTTTCTTCTCTCCTTCTCATCTTCCTTCCTCCTGTTACTCTTCTCTTTGCTTAGTTTTCAAAGATTGAATAACGAAGTGCTCGTTAAGATTTTCCAAATCGCGTGAATCAGGGGAGATGTTATGCTGAAGGTTTATGCTTGTCCACCATGGATCTCGTGCATTCTTTGCACTCCTCTCCCTAATGTAAGCTTATGTTTAAGATCCTTTAAAATTTCTATTTAAGTTACTAATTATATAGATTATATAATACATGGCCACATACATGTCACTGTCACAGCCATGTACGCACCTGAAATCCTTCCACAGAACAAGATAAACTACGAGGGGCCGAACCATGTAGAGCAGTGATAGGGTTGGTTGGGTCCTTCTGCCCTCCTGTCTCTGAACTAGAGACCAAAGCAGGTAAGAAACACATAATTTAAAATATAACCTTTAAGAGAGGTTATAATTCTGTCATCATAGATTTTTACCATAAGACATAACATTTTATTTAGTAAATACACCAAATAAAATGTATCTAGGCCTTTATGTCTATATTATTTCTAATAAAATTAGAGAAACAAAAAGACAAAAATGTTATGGGAGAGAGAGGGGGGCTTATGGGGATGGTGCACCCAGGAAAAGAAACCAAGTGGAGGTAGAAAGAGGAACAAAGGCTAGTCCAAGATACTCTACAGTAAACAGGCTTAGTAGATAATGCCTGGCTACCCACCTAAACTTCAGGAGCACCATGAGCAGCACTATATTTTGAAAGACAGCCCACAAATATGAAATTAAACCTCTGTCTCAGATGGTTTGACACAATTCTACTTCAAGCTACCTCTGAAAAGCATATTATGCAAATTTGGCTACAGGTTATGAGGCAAAATAATATAATTCAAAATTATATTAGACAAAGGTTTCCTTCAGTTACAAATAGAATTATTATATTTTGTTCTTTGCTCCATAGGCAAGGAAGCATCTTGAGGTTCTGAACATATTGAGACATTTGGGAGGTGAAAAGAGATAGAGTTTATTACTAGTGTGGAATTACCTTAATGTGTTTCAATTTTTCTATTTTTTAAGATGATGAACCCTGCATCAATAATAATTGCTGTCACTCAATGGATAAAACATGAGTGCGAACCTAAGGACTGTGAAGACATACCTAGATCCAAGGCCCAATTCTTAGGCAGAAGAAAAAAATCAAATTATGCTACTCAGTGCTAGAATTACCAATTTTTTTTTACAGAAGCAAAGATCCACTTTATATATTGCTTTTTAATTTTATCCAGTGCATATGTGTATAAAGCCTTATTGGAAATAGTAATATGCACACACATATATATGTATATATTGAAGTTGACTAAGTATTTGTAAAGATCATGTAGAGTTCAACGACTTTGCTTTTATTTAGACAAAAATTACAACCATATTTTTAAAGTAAGAAAAAGTAATTTAAGAATAATCTCTCAATGTAATGTTCCATGTTAATCAACTGATTACACACTTTGGTATATTCCCTTAAAAAAATTCTCATTGTATTTTTTTATAACATAGGTAAAGAACAGCTAGGCTTAAATTTGGCACTGTCTTCCTGTCACGTGGACCTTCACCAGACACCGTCCTGTGCTAATGGAACCTGTAGCCATGCTCTTGTGTACTACACTGCGATAACAGATTTTTCTCGAGATGGAAATAGGGTTACAGACATTATAGTGGAACCTATAGTTAATGAGGATTTCCTGTGGAACAGCTACATTCCAGACAGCATCCAGGTTGACAAATCACAAAAATACCTTTATAACTTAAGCCTTAAAAATGATATGTAAAATTTATCACCATACCTTAAAAACTTTTCATTTCAAAATTTTTAAATGTTATTTCAATTTTTAAATTACTTTATTTTCAATAACTATGATAAAAATAATTAATTGAAAAGTTTTTAATTTGCTAAGCAATTTATTGTATGTCACTAAATAACAATTAATGATAATATTTACTGAAAATATTTTTGTTTTTAAGATCAGAGTAAAGGATGTCCCAACTGCTTACTGCTATTCATTTACTGACCCACATATAATTACATTTGATGGCAGGTAATTTCCTCTAAGTTTTTTCCTTTAATATTTTGTGTTTCTTTTGGATTTTGTTGTTTTTTTAAAAAAATTATATATATATATATATATATATATATATATATATACACATACACATATATATAATTTTATATATATATATATATATATATATATATATAATGTTATTTTTCTCAGTCCTATTACCTGAAAGATTAAAAAGGTAGGCATGTATGGACATCACTGGCTTATTTCAAAATACTAACTTATTTGTGTGGAATGTTTTTCCTTTAAAATCTAGTTCTTAGTAAATATATTGATTAGCTGTGAGATGGAATTTGTAAAAATGAAGATTCTACAAATACAATAATTTTATCTTGACTATTTTTAATAATGATATTATTTGTTCTAGAGATATATACGGTATTACATTTCTATGTGATACTGAGATAATCTTTAAGGTTTAAAGCAAGATGATTAAACAAACATGTGATAATTATTTAAAAATCTAATCCCTTCTAATTCATGGCAAGGATATTCAGGGGAAAATCTATCGCAGTCATCATGAATACCTGGATATCTGCCTCTGATCTTAAAGTAAAATAGACAAAATGACCAAAAAGAAATGTAAACTCTCTTACTATTAACATATGGATAGACGGAATTAAATTCAGTTTTACTGTTCTGGGGAATTCATGATTTTAAGATGTCCCTAAAAAATGATGTGAACACTTCAGTGTTGAATCAAAATCTTCTTCATGATGTGAGGTAATGTATTCTTTTTTAAAATTATAATGTGATCATTGTCAGTGAAATTATTCAATATTAGTGCATAGATGCAGGTCCCCTCCAATAATGAATGATACTCCAAAAGTTTGCACAAGTATGAAAAGTTGTAGGAACTGATCCCACATGCAAGAATCCTTTATGGTCATAATTAAAAACTTAAAAGTTTTGCCCTAGCCAGTTTGACTCAGTGGTTAGAGAGTTGGCCCAAGGATGGACGGGTCCTGGGTTGGATTCCAGCCAAGGGCACGCACCTTGGTTGCAGGTTCAATCCCTGCCCCGGTCAGTGCGCATGCGGGACGCAACCAATCGATATGTCTCTCTCACATCGATGTATCTCCCCACCTCCACACTCTCTGAAAAGCAATGG